GTATCATGCTGTCTTAATTTGTGTTTCTATTGCCATGAAAAAACACCAGGACCAAAGGCGACTTGGAGGGTGGCATTTCATCTTACATTTTCAGGTGACAGTCCATCGCTGAGGGGAATAAGGGCAGAACTAGAGGCAGGAGCCTGGGGGCAGGACCTGAGGCAGCCATGGGGATGCTACTTACTGGCTTGCTCTCCGTCACTTATACATTGCTTTCTTATGCCATCCAGGACCACCTGCCAAGGGGTGGCACTGCCCACCAGGGTCTGGGCTCTCTTACATCAACCATCAATCAATAAAATAACCTACCAAGAAAACAGTAAATTTCTTTCCAGGGAAATAAAAGGAAGAGGAGGCAGAGAAGGTGCTAGAGAGACGGCTCAGTCCAGAAAATGATTGTCACAATCCAAGTTTGACTCTCAGTACCCACATAAGAGGCTAAGTAAGCATGGTGGCACACACTTGCATCCCAGCACCAAGGAGACAGAGGCAAGAAGATTGCTGGAGCTCACTGGACAGCCAGCTTAGCTTAATTGGCAAGCCCCCATTCCAGGGAGAGATCCTGTCTCAAACAAACAAGGTGGATGCATCCTGAGGAATTGCACCTGAGGCTGACCTCTGCCCACCCCACCCCACCCCCAAAATACATGTGTATACACACGCACACGCACACACACCACTACCTCTCAAATGTAACATTGTAATAATGATACAATATTACATTTGAGAGAATTGTGTGACAGGCTCATGAATGATAATTCCTCAAGCTTTCTGCATGATTGAAATATTAAATAATTTTTAGAAACCTGGTGATTAGAAATGGTGAAACAAGATCAGAGTCAGAGTAGGACCTCAAGACCCAGAAGCAATTGTCTTGTCCACACTTGGGTGGGGACAGGGTAAGTCTCCCCTTCTCATGTCATTGCCATGTGCCTTGATTCACTCCTGGGCAGGCTTATGACCTTGGGAGGGGGCCTTTCCCCTGGCCTAGCTGGGGACAATTCCCAGTCTGTAGCCCAATCATCATACTGACTTCGATACCAGGCCAAAAAACCTGAAGTTTGAAGTTTATATTTGGGTGCTTGGAAAGTGTGGGGGGGGGGGAGCTGGACTGGCTCAGTGTCCTACAGACGTCCTGAGTTTGCTTCCTAACATCCTCATCAGGTAACTTACTGTTCTGGTGGAAACTCCACCTCAGCCCCTGGCATCCTGGCATCCTGGCATCCATAGACCCAAAGAGTCTGGAATGTTCTGGTAGAAGATCCACCTCAACTCCCTTCCCCCATCTCATTTCCCAAACCCACCCCCTCAAAGCCCAGCAAATACAGCTCCTCCCCCAGAGATGCTCAAGACCACTCCCACTGGGTATTTAAGCTGCACCCCAGAAAACAGACCTGTGGTTTTCCAGTCTCCCCAAACACGCCCCCCGTCTCCTTTCTAGGGGGGCTGGAGAATCACCTGGGACACTTTACCCATTAAACCAGGACCTTTTCTAATTCGGTCTGATCTGGTCTGATTTGGATTGCTGCGTCAGTGGAGAGGCTTATGGGGTGTAAAAACCTTTCACTTACATTTACCTATAACTCTGATTCTTAGGGATCCAACACCCTCTGGCCTCCTTGGGCACCTGCATGCACATGGTGCAAATAAACTTACACAGGCATACAGACATACACATAAATAAAAATAATAAATAAGTCTTTAAGTTTAAAAAAAAAGTGTGTAGGCTTGGGAGATGGCTCAGTCAGTAAAGTGCCTTTTTTTTTCAAGCATGAGGACCTGAGTTCGATCCCCAGAACCCACATGATAAACTGGCATAGTGACATGTGCTTGTAATCCCAGCCTTGGGAATACAGAGGCAGGCCAATCCCTGGGCCTCAGTGTCCAGCCAGCCTAGTCCATTTGGTTGTAACTCCAGCCAGTGAGAGATTCTGTTTCAAAAGGATGGGGAATAGGGGTGGTTGTGGACAGTAACTGATGAATGACATTCAAGGTTGTCCTCTAGCCTCACACATATATGCACATGCACACTTGTATATCTGTATACACACCAGTGAGTACATGCTTGCATGCGCGCATGCGCGCGCACACACACACACACACACACACACACACACACACACACACACACACACACATAATTTTCAAATGAACCAAATGTTGATGTTAATAAGAACATTCATAACAAACCTGATGGACCATGCCTATAAACCCCAGCACTGAGGAGGCAGGAATAGGATTAAGAATTCAAGGCCAGCCTGGGCTGCACAGCAAGACCCTGTTGAACAAGATGAGAAGAGAGATAGATGTGGGAGAGGAACTATTATGAACATACTATAACAGAAACTTAGAAGGACCCACCTGTGTCTTTCCACAATGTTGGAATTTATTGCATAACAATAAATTCACACACCAAGTGTGTTGGCTTTACTGGCTGAAATTTGTCAAGTAGTATTGATTTCCCCTAATGGCTGGCTGTTGGGAAACACTGGTTCTTTCATTCCAATCTTAATCACTAATATTAATTCTTAAATCATACATTTTAGACCTATCAAATGGTGTTCTAGCTAGTTTTATGTCAACTGGACACAAGCTATAGCCACTTAAGAGGAGGGAGCCTCCACTGAGAAAATGCCTCCAGAAGATCACTGGAGGCAAACCTGTAGGGTATTTTCTTAGTAATCAATGCGGGGGGGGGGGGGGATCCCAGCCCACTGTGGGTGGTGCCATCCCTGGGCTGGTGGCCCTGGGTTCTATAAGAAAGCAGGCTGAGCAAGCCGCAAGGAGAAAGTCAGCATTGCCTCTGCATCAGCTCCTGCCTCCAGGTGCCTGCCCAGTTAGAGATCCTGCCTTGCTTTCCCTCAGTGGATTATGATTCAGGATATGTAAGCCAAACAAACGCTTTCCTTCCCAAACTGCTTTTGATCACGATGTTTCATAGCAGTAATATCAACCCTAACTAGAGGCAGAGATGAGAGCTAGGACAGTATCTGCAATGGTTAGATATTAGGAGCCCATCTGAGGAGCTGCTGGAGGCTGTGGTGTGTCACAGGTTCAATCAAGCCACAGGGCTGAGTTGAGTCCAGTTGCAAAGAACAGGACCCTGGAGACCAGATCCTGCTGGATGAACAGATGATTGGACAGAAGGCAGTTCAAGTGGATGACATCAAACAGTAGAGATCAAGCTGAGCTGGCCCCCAGGGACCAGCTGGAGTTCCCTCTCTCAGTCCCTTGAAGCACATACTGGGAGGCCAAGCATTTGAGCATCTGTGTGATGGTCTGAATAAGAATGGGCCCCACAGGCTCATGTGTTTGAATGTTTGGTTGCCAGCTAGTGAAACTGTTTGGGAAGGATTATGAGGTGTGGCCTTGCTGGAGGAAGTGTGTCACTCGGGTGGATTTTGAGGTTTCAAAAGCCCCTACCAGTACTAGTTAGCTCTCTCCACCAGTACTAGTTAGCTCTCTTTGCCTCCTACTTACAGATAAGGATGAGGGCTCTCAGCTGCTGCTCCAGTGCCATGCCTACCTGCCTGCTGCCATGCTCCCTGTTATGATTGATGGTCATGGACTCTAACCCCCTGCTCATCCCCCGTGAGCCCCAAATTAAATGTTTCTTTTCTAAGTCACTTTGGTCATGGTGTTTTGTCACAGCAATAGAAAAGTAACTAAGATGGTCTGGTATGTTGGGTAATTCTCTAGCCTGATTCTTCTAGCATGGCTTTAATGTGCACCTGTGCTCATATGTCCCCAGTCCATTTTGATAAGTTTATAGGTAGTACCTTTTATTTATGTAGAGTAAGCTATTTCTCAGTCTGTGCCTCATGGGTATTGAGGGACAGATGGTGTCTACATGCAATACAGAGTCATCTTGGACTCAAGTGGAGTCAAATGCTGCCTTGTTAAATCAAGTCACCAGGGGAAGGCAGAGCCTAAAAGCCAGTGCTTGCTCCCATAATATAGTCAGTTAGAACAGGACACAGACTGATCTCCACGGGAAAAGAGGGATGGAGGGAGGGAGGGAAGGATGGGGAGAGGGGAGAGTATTCATTTTGTTATCCATTATAAACACAGACATTGAGAAGGGTCACAACCCAAGTTCTCTTCATTTGTTATGGACTGTACTTTGGTAACAGAGCTTCCAATTAAATTCCCTTAGGTTTCACTTTTTCTTCTGTTCTGATATATATTTTGTGAATTCACTGAGAAAGAAAATCAGTGCAGGTTGGGACGAAGATAATTCTATCACTTTCTAAAATGTCAGAGATTACCACTTTTATATTCTGTGAGGTATCTGTTTCCAGTGACTTGTGCTTTTTTTCTGATAGCAATTAAGTTAAAGCTGCAAGAACCTATAATTTAGGCTCACAGTTGACTCAAATGGATTTAAAAATGTTTATTTTTCCTTTGCTTTTTCTATGGACACACATAATGAATTAAATGTAGGGCTCTCTTTCTTGATTATTGCTTTAGAAAGAAATTGTCATGCCTCATTACTCATCTTCAAAAGGAGATAATAGCACACTTTATTGTAGGATTTTTATGTATTGCTAATGTCTAGAAAACTCAGCAGATTAATTCTCTCTATATAAGGTGAAATTTATTGAGCAAATGGGATGTCAATACCAGCCCATCAATTACAACCTGAAAACTTTTATAGGAAAGGCATATAGAAACCCAATAAGAAAAGTATAAATCTGTTGTCGGGGATATAAAATTATGCCCAAAAGTTATTGAAGATTGATCTAAGAACCATGAACCATGCTATTCAGTGGTAACTTTTAAAATATTAAGTCATATATTACCTTATTAGAGATGGAGAAATATGGACAACTAAAATTATGACCCGAGATTTGTGAGGAACATCTAAACTAAAGAAGATAAGTTATTTACAGGCATTTAAAAGACAGACATAAAATTTAAGGTGTAAGTTTGGAAGAATCTCTGATTGGATGGGACCTCAGTGGTCCCAGGACAAGTTCTGACCCTCTAAAACTATGGAGTGGAAGAGCACTGAGTGCCACAGCAGGGACATTGGTCTCATTAGCCACTCCACACACAGTAGAAGTTCCTGGCTTGCTTTCTGGGAGAAAAGGCCCTCTAGGTAGATTCAAGTGAAGTGGTCTGTTGGTACTCAGCACCTTATATTTGGTCCTCCAAATCTAAGCTTCCCTGCCCACACTGCTTGAACTCCCTTGTGTTTGCCAGATACAACTCTGACCTGTATAGATGGCCCCCCGGTACTGTGCCTTTCAACTGGGTTTGCTGTCATGACCATTTCAGATAGAAGAACAAAGATCAGAGGTTGGTGAGGCTGAGTGTCTGTCTCTAGCTCCTTCTGTCAAGTTTTGATGCCAAAGGCCACAGCTTCCATTAAGAGGTACTCCTAGGGAGCTGGGGCTCAGAAGTTAGGAGCACTGGCTGCTCTTACAGAGAACCTGCGTCCCAGCACCCACATGGTGGCTTACAGTCATCGATAGCTCCAGTTCCAGGGGAATCTGATGCCCTCTCTGGTATCCCCAGTCACTGCATGCATGTAGTGCACAGGCACACATGCAGACATACACATAACATAAATAGTTTTTAAAAGAAAGACTCCCAAATCCAGTCCCTCCCCTGTCTTTGGACATCCTTAGACTTGATTTCTACCCTTGATCTTGACCTATACTCTATACCACTTCTCTAAACTCTTGGGAAGGAACCACTAAAAAACTCACCAAGGCATGATTGTGGAAAAGAGGGACCTCCTTCTCCCATAACACTCATACCACAGAAGACATCAAAACCAACACTAGGCATACTTGCAACATTAATGAAGATCCAGCCAAGATGCTACTCCTGCCTCCCAGAGACACTGTCACATATGTGTAACACAAATTCTAAATGGTCTTTTGATTAAAAAAAAAAAAATCTGCAGCCAGATATTGGGGTAAATGCTGAAAGATCAGAGAGACAAAGGAACAAGCTACTGCCATGTCTTACCTCTTAGACTTGGCAGCCTGAAAAAGCCTCTAGTTCTTGTCTCCCCATGCCTTATATACCTTTCCCCACCCAGCCATAACTTCCTGGGATTAAAGGCGTGTGTGCTTCCCAAGCAAAGGCATGAGATCTCAAGTGCTGGGGTTAAAGTCACGTGATTCCAAAGTACTGGGATTAAAGGTGTGTATCACCACTGCCTGGTTATGTCTCTCTCCTAGACTGAGTCAATCTCATGTTGTCCAGGGTGGCTTTGAACTCACAGAGATCCAGATGGATCCCTGCCTCCCAAGTGCTAGGATTAAAGGTGTGTGCCACCACTGCCTGGCCTCTGTGTTTAATCTAATGACTTGTTCTGTTCTCTGATCTTCAGCCAAAGTTTATTAGGGTACACAGTGTATCACCACACATATGTTTCAGCAAAGGGCTCTTAGGTCGAAGACCTAGCCTTACCTGATGAGAAATTCATCTGCCTTTTATTGTGTCCTCCATCACATCCTAGTGACAGCTGAAGGCTGGTAGCCTTCATCACTCCTTCACAATGCATCTTAATGAAGTGTATAGAAAGGTCCCTTTGTTGTTTGCAGACCCCAGGGTTTATACAGCATTCAGGTTTGGGAAGGTGTGCACGTTGCATTGAGTCCATCAGCCAGCCCTGCACCTGCTTCTCAACAGAGACAGGCACACAGGGGCTGCTCTCCACAAACTGAGGGACAGCACTCGCTTTGTTAAAATCACACTTAGCTTGGAGTGTGTCATTTCAGTGGGTATGGGATCATAAGCCCTGGGGTTAGAGAAAAAGATCGGTTCAATTAAGAGAAGAGAAAAAGATAGTTCAGGTATTCACCTTGCAGGAAGTACTTTAAATAAGAAATGCCATGTCCTCATATGGCAGCTTGCCATGTCTGGGAGACACAAAAGGAACCAGGAAATGTGGAAGGCAGTGTTTGGGCTAAGCTATTAAGAGAGGAAAAACTGACTGATGCTAAGGGACCATGGGCAGGTGTCATGTGATCTACGGTCTAGAGTCAGAACCCATGTGGAAGCCTGCTACTGCAGTAAGAATTAAGTTCTAAGTCACAAAGAAAGAGACCATGTGAGAGCCAAAGTTACATCATAAATTTAAATTACTGTGCCTAAGAGATCCATGAAACAAATGTGCCTCTGATCTGCAAGCCCTTTGCCCAGGGACAGATGCTGGAGGCTATTGTTCATGGGAGATGACAAGCCACATGTTCTCACTCCCCTAAACAAGTTTGTTTGACCCATCTGCACCTGATGTGCTTAATCACATGTGGGCTGGAAGCTCATGGGCAGGAAGTATGTCAGGATGTACGTTTGCCCCTGAGTGGACCTGATGGGAAATGTGAACTGTGGGTTCTGTCTTTTAAGCCCCTACAAACCATGACTAAAGGCCATTTTCTGGAAACCCAGAGATGGACCTGGCCAGAGCCCATCAACCTGGCCAGTATTTAATTAAAGCTTGCTTCAAATTTGACTTTAAACTGTGGTAGTGGTCTTATTCTCCACCGGTGGGATTAACAACCTCCATTCCAACTGGACATGGCAAATTTTACTCTAGAGCAGTGGTTCTGGACCTTCCTAATGTTGCAAGCCTTTAATATAGTTCCTCTTGTTGTGGTGACCCCAAATCATAAAATTATTTCGTTGCTACTTCATAACTGTAATTTTGTTACTGTTATGAATCATAATATAAATAAATATCTGCTATGCCACCATGTGGGGCCGCGACCCATAGGTTGAGAACCATTGCTCTTGACTAAGAGCATGCACATGCTCAGAAGAGCAAACAGAGACAGGACAGACACTTGGTTTTGGTCCTCACACAGGTGGTGGCTTCGTCAGCCGTGTCTTTTCCATACTGGCCGGGGTCGACCTCACTATCTTATTCAACCAGCTAGTCTAAAAAGAATTATTAGTGTTGCCGGGCGGTGGTGGCGCACGCCTTTAATCCCAGCACTTGGGAGGCAGAGCCAGGAGGATCTCTGCGAGTTCGAGGCCAGCCTGGGCTACCAAGTGAGTTCCAGGAAAGGCGCAAAGCTACACAAAGAAACCCTGTCTCGGAAAAACCAAAAAAAAAAAAAAAATTGTTAGTATGAAGGAGAGAGACAGAGGTCAATGCCCCAAGGAGAAAGGGTCACTGCTCTAGGCCTTCAAATTCCCAGAACACAGCAGTGGGTCTTACTGGGTGGGTTGATTAAGACAAGTTAAAAGTCTTACAAGGTGAGGGAAATAAAAGATTTGCATTCCTTGTCCTAAACATAAGTTTTGCAGCATTTAATAGAAAAGATTTGTATTTAATGTTTCTTACACTGCCGAGGCTCTGAAACGAACAAGGCATAAATAGGAAGAGCCTGGCTTGGTGTACACACTAATCCCAGCATGCAGGAGGCTCGGGCGGGCGGGAGGAGGGAAGGACAAGGCCAGGGCCAGTCTAAGCACAAGGCCCTGTTGTGGGGGGTGGGGGGTTGGTAGTTCCCACACAGCAGCCTCTGCTGATGCCAAAGCAATTACCACATGTCGCCAGGTGCCTTAACACAGTCAGCTGTGTGACATGTGCACCCCAGGACACAGGACACAGCTCACGTGCTCTCTCCCCCTCCTCCTCTCCCTCTCCCCTTCCCCCTCCCCCTCCCTCTCTCCCTCCCTCCCTCCTTCCCTCTCTCCCTCTCTCTCCTTATCCCTCCTCCTCCCTCCCTCTCTCCCTCTCTCCTCCTCCCTCTCCCCCTCCCTCCCTCTCTCTCTCTCTCTCCCTCTCCCCCTCTCTCTCTCCCTCTCTCACCTCCTGCTCCTTTCTTACCTCTCATTTCTCTTGCCTCCTCTTCTTCCTCTTGCTCCTCTTCCCTGTTGTCTGTCTGTCTGTCTGCCTGCCTCTCTCAAGTCCCCACTCCAGCATGCACTTTCACTCTCTCCTCCTCCCTCCCCCAATAACCCTCTTGTACTCACTCAGTTGCAAGTGGCGTGTTAGCTTAGTGGCACACCTTGGCAGGGCCCGCCAAAAGGTACCCATTTCTCCTTTCTTTTCTTAAATCACTACAGGGGAGCGTTCTTCTGGTGGGCCTGTGTGGTGGTTTGAATAAAAATGGCCCCCATGGGCCCATAGGGAGTAGCACTGTGAGGAGGTGTGGCCTTGTTGGAGTAGGTCTGGCTTTGTTGGAGGATGTGGGTCACTAGCAGGTGGACTTTGAGATCTCAGAAGGTCAAGCCAATTCTCTTCCTGGTGCTTGCCAATCTAGATGTAGAACTCTCAGCTCCTTCTCCAGCGCCATGTCTGCCTGCACACTGCCATGCTTCCTGCCATGGCGATAATAGACTAACCCTCTAAAACTGTAAGCAAGTCCCAGTGAAATGCTTTCCTTTATAAGAGCTGCCATGGTCCTGGTGTCTCTTCACAGCAATAGAAACCCTGACCAAGACAGCCTGTAACGCCAGCCTTGAGAAGGCTGAAGCCAGAGAGTCACCTGTACCAGACCAGCCTGGCTACACAGTAAAACTTTTGCATATATATAAAACTTTTGCATATATATAAAACTTTTGTATATATATATATATATATATATAAAGTATATATACAAAAGGCACATGAGATCAGAAACTGGGGGTGGGGGTGCTTGAAATTCCTCTCACAGGCTGCAGGACCAGGTAGGCTGTTCAGAGACCAGAATGAAAGACACCAAATGAAATAAAGAATTCTCATCATCAGAATGCCTGCCTCAGTTCTCAAAGTGTGTGTGGCTGACTAGGTCACCAGGCAAAGCACCCTGCCAGAGCAAACAGCAGAAAGTCAGAATTTGGCCATACTAAGCTGACTTTTTTTTTTTCCATCACAGGCAATTTATTTTGTTCTATTCATTCACAGTTAATACAGAAAATACTTGGAAACATTTCCATATAATGTTTGACACAGAAATCATCAAATA